TCAGCATCACCATCTTCAAGAAAAGAACATCCTCTACCGAACGGTTGGACTGGATCAGAAGCATCATTATTCAGGTTACTCCGAACAATATTTGCCAATAACTACTGTTCTATGTCAGAACTTATTCAGACTAAAACGTGTAAAGAGGTGAGGAAAGTTGTAATTTTTTTAGTGCAGTGATTGTGAAAAAGCAAACAGTTATTCTAAGGCCAGGAAAAAAAATTCTCTGTTTCTCGTTACATGTAAATTTTAAAATGAGGCGAGAAGGCGATTTTTTTTCTTTTAATACCGAGCTAAAATTTGAAAGTGCGAGTACAGGCGCATTTTTGAATGCTTTAGAAGGAAAAAACAACAACGTCAGAGGCGCATAGTTCAAAATGATGCGCGCGGAAACGAGAAACAGATATTTTTTTCTCAGCCTAAACAAGTTTTTTTAATGATATTCACAAGCTGAAAGTGGACGGTATGCAATGCATGCTCAATCAAACAAACAAACACAGCCTCAAAAAGTTGTTAACAAACAAACACACCCTCAATAAGTTGTTAACAAACAAGTTACTGTTAACCCTCTAATTTTCGGTTGCCTAATTTTTCCATTGCTAATAAAATCATCTTTGAACATTACAAGAAGTTGGACAATACAAGTGTGAACAAAAAATAATAAAGCAGACAAGTTTTCTTATCGAATATCATCTACATATTATGCAATTACAGTAATCTTTGAATGGTTTTACTTGCATGTGCTCTTCAGCGACCATTTATCTTAAATAAAATTCACAAAATGTTAACATGACATCAATTGTCAGGCATGCCTTGGTCATTTTGTATTCAATTTTGAACATCATACATACTGTGTTACGGAAGAGTTTGTAATTTTCACTGAATTCTGTTTCCTTGAATGCTGTTAAATTTTGAAATCTGGACACTTTAACATGTACCTCAGTGCTTTTCTCCAGTCAGGATGTCAATCATTTATAAAGTAAAATTGGTATTCAAGATTGAAGAATTAATGCTATTACATGTCATATTACTAATTATAATAACTTTTTTCAAACTTATTTTTAGATTTATCAGTTTGCAGCCAAAGAAAACTGTGACCTGCCAGATTTCCTTGAAGAGCTTAATAACACTCCGCCAAGGAAAAAGAAAAGAAAACAAAGGTATTACAAAATGGTCAAAATTTTTGAAAATGTCCCTACCGGTTTCTCACTTTTTGATCAATTTTGTACAAAAATGACACATGAACCCATTTTCGTTCACTCGGGCATTGCATCGGCCATTTCTTGAACTTGTTTTAGCCGATGAAGTTATGTTATATACTGTAGGTACATGGATACTAGTGAATATAAGAACTGATAGCTTACTAGAGTAAGTATTTTTGGCAAAGTACACAAATGTTTCTCGCAAACATTGTCATGGGCATGCTGGGCAAATGTAATTTTTATTTCAGCAGAATTAAACAATTGGTACAATACCAGAAGGCAACCCAGGCCACACCCCCACCCCACCCACAAATTACAAAGTCTGCATATTCTCGGGTTCATCTGGATATTTAATTTCCAAAACTTTTCCAAGTTAATGTGACGATTACCCGGTACTTAAAATGTGTTTACATGGAGCTAATCTTGGCAGGATCTGCTACATATAGGGTAGTACATAAATTTGTTTTGGTACTTTGCTATTGCTTTCATAGGTTATGGTCAATGCACTGTAGAAAAATTCAACTTAAAAAGGTGAGTTCTGATGATTATTGCAATGCCAAATCACTTGTGGTCCCAATAGAATCTTGGTCATAAACGAAAATGTCAAGAGTTAATCAGTTTTTCAGTAACTTGTATTCCAGACAATTTGAGGTCACCAGCCTGTTTTTCCAAGTAATGGTGATTAGGTTTTAGTGTATGGTGACTCTTTCTATGATAAACATACTGTTTTTAAAATATATAGCCCTCGTGTATATTGTTATTTTGTCACTAGTCTGTGTATATTTATCTTCTTTCTGATTGGACTATTTTATTGCAGATAATTCATCCAATCACGTATACAATTATCAGCCATGTGACCACCCTGGTAGACCGTGTGATTCTGAATGTCCATGTATTATGTGTCAAAACTTTTGTGAAAAATTCTGTCAGTGCAGCCCGGAATGTAAGTATATATGTGATGTTTGAACAGTTTTAACAACAGTATGTTTTAATAATTTAACAAAAATTGGAATTCAAATGTACAAGTCTAATGAGATTCTTGCAAATAATAGTTCCCAAGCCTTAACAGAAAACTGCAATGGTGTTAAAATTATAGAAAATTGAACGAATGTATAAAAAAGACAAAATAAATGGAATGTGTTATTGTAGTGCATTTTTGAACAAGTATAAATGGGTTTAACCTTTTAACCACCAGATTTTTTCGCCCAAATTTTTGTGCACTTTTTTCTTGTATTCTTGAAAATTTGTGGAAATGAACTCTAATATAGGCGTCGACATACACAGTTTTAATCAATAAAAAAAAAATATACTCATATATTTTTCACTTATTTTTTCAAAAATTGTCATCAACACATTTGGTCCAAAATGATCAAAAAAATTGTAGAAAATTAATTGTAC